AGTCCATTTTGAATTCCTCGTACATGTGCTCATCTTGGGTAATCTTTTCAATGACATTTGCGCCCATTTTGATAGTAGCCTATTTCAGGGGAAAAGGGAACGCGTTTCAGGATAAAGTTGATGAGATCACAGTTCGCTGTGCCCTACCTCTTGGTCCTTGTATGTAACAATAGCAAGGTCGTCGTTGTTCTTGATTGCTTCGTCAGCACTTGACTCGACCAAGGAAGCATAGTTGTCAGGCTCGTCATCAGAAACATAGAAGGATGCATCAAACATATCTGTTGTTCAATCCATAAACATTTCAATCACCTCATAAAACGAACAAGGTACACAGCACAACTACTTACCTGGCTTTGCACCAGAGACAATGACAACCATACTGCCATCAACCTTCTTTTCAAACAAGCTGGAAGATGCTGGCAAAAGAGAGGCAAGCTCTTGGACATCTTTGAAGGAATTCACACTGTTTTCATTTTGCAGACGTAAAGCAGGGCTCTCAGAGGAAATATCCATCATATGAGAATAAAACATGGAGAAAGACTTCATTGAGACTTCAGGTGCTGTTGAGCCAAGTGTATTCTCGTTGTTGGATGAAACCAAGTGTACAGAGGAGCGAGCTACGTATAATCATGTTAGTTGCCGAAAGCGTCTAGTGGCTGCTTGCATTTACCGAGAACGCCAGTCAATACAGACGCGATCACCGTTGTCAAGGATAATAATTTCATTTCTTGTTTTATGAGGGCACTGGATACTCGATGAAAACAACGACGAAGAAGAGAAAAAAAGATAATGTCTTTCACGTTAGACCTATTCTCAGAAAAGTCTCGCAATGATGCTTTTTAGATAGCCGAAACATATAGTTGGAGAAGTGACGTGTGTGCATCGAAGCAATGCTCTTGCGAACATGAAACGAGTAGATGTCCTGGAATGCCTAATGCTAGATATGATGGGCTTTTGACATTCTTTCTCCATTGCTTCTAAATCAAATTTCGTTGATCCAAAACCAGCCAGATGTTCTTTACGAAATGCTTTCAGATGTAACATTTCTTTGACCATTTAGGTAATGTAGAATAAGACACTCCACCAAGATCCCTCACCGAATGTCCGTATTGTTGGCCAGTATATCAAGGTACGCATAGCCAGCATGCTTTTCTATCTGAATGCTATTTTGTGGCATTCATTCTAATCTGGAAAGCAATGGCTGTCATAGCACAAGGACGCTCATGAATTTGAGATTACAAATGTCAGTGTTTGAGTAGTATCAAATGTGTCAAATTATCTCGTCTCTAGTCTACAATGCTTGACAAGCGGCCAACAATTGCAATCCGTTCATTTTGGAGTATATACTCAAATCACATGCTTTTGATGGCAAATAGTCCGAGATAGCACAAGTAGCGCATAGAATCAGATCAACAAATATTGACATGTGTAAACGCTAGCTTTGATTTTAGCAAACATATCATAAAAGGGACCACCCAAACTTGGGCTTTTTTTCTTTGGATTTCTGCTCAACGACCGAGAAAATATTGGTTAGTATAAAAGATTTTATTAGAAATACAACTATTAAATTATTTTACATGCTAGGATTGACCTTGGAGGAGTGCTGATGGAAGAAACTGCTCACTAGCTTCTTCATCTTACTGCTACTAGGATAGCAATGTTGTTGGATGGTCGCTTTACTAGCGCTATTGACGTCTTGTACTATTTGGATGGTACGATGCACTGCTTCGTCAATAGTGCTATAGCATAGATCACAAGCCAGCTCGTACTCTCTAATCACTTTGGGCCAACCTGTTTGAGACGTTTGACACATATCACAGTCAAAATTGACCTCCAACGCCTGCGGGTTCCAACGAGTATCGCCATATGCTTCTCGGTCACCATATTCAAAGCAAGCCAGCTTGAATGTCTTTGTCCAAATCTGATGTATATCCAGTGAACTACTGTTTGTCTTCTTCTTTTCGAGCTGGTTTTCTGAATCAGACAAATAAATAGCAGATTCCAAAACAACCTGGGCCTGATAGCTGTCAAATCCTGACCAAAACTCGCATCCCTGTTTCAGGTAAGCTAGCTGTTGTGTCGAAGTCATGATGGTATCCACGGACCCTCTTCTTTGATTGCATAGCTGATCTTGTTCGCAATACTGAGCTGACACTGTTTTGGACATGAGTTTGAGATGAGCTCGACATTTTTCTAGCGCTTCCCGTTTCTCGGAGACTTGTTGCTCGGCTTCTGCATTAACGTCTCTGGCTTTCAGATAGCGCTTCTTGGATTGCGCTGAAAGGAGAGGCACTGAAACGACAGCATGGTAGTGTTGTTCGCAACGAATCTTCTTTTCTCGACTCTTTTCTGCAGCGGCTCTTGCAAGCTGTAAATCTTGCTCCAAATGTATCTGCTTTCTCTGCAATTCCTTTTGCTGATGACTGATCTTTTGTAGCCCTTGGTCCAATGCATGACCTCGGTCATCCAAATGATGGATCAGTTGCTCCAGCGAGTTCTTTCTTCGGTTGTATTGCTGTGAAATGATGTCTACAGTGGTCAAATAGTCGTGTATCATCTTGCGTCGATGTTGAACTCGGTCAATGACCTGTAGTAGTAGCTTCTTCTGTGTGATCAGATGCTTCTTGGTTCCTCCTCCATAGCTTACAATTTCCTCTGCTTTTTCGATATTTACAATCATAGTTGTCGAGCTGTCGTATACAAGACAAAAGAGAGATCCCAAATGAGATGCTGACGGAATATTTATATACTGCCTTGCAAGATAGACTTGATCTATGCCTCCCTTTTGCTTGTTACTGCCAAAAAGTTTATTTAATATAGTCGTAACCCCAATCCCGAGTGAGATCCAGCAAATTTAAGGTATTTGCGTCACTAGGAGAGGCACAAAAGTTGCATTTGTGTGTGTGTACGTGTGTGAATACGCTACTTTCCAGCATGATTGCGAGTCATCTCCGATAAGCACCATCTTTTATAAATCAAATAGATGTGTTATCTTTCTCTTCTTTGCATCTGCTCGGTTTTTGTCTAATAGATGAGTTATTCAGCGTTTTTCTATGGTTCTTTAATGTCAAAAGTCGTACTTTTAAGAGGTAATCAAGGCACTAGAATAAACCGAGACACGACATGTTGGATTGAGCTCTGTTGTGTATAGTACTATGCGGTGCAACTGCATCTGCTCATGACAAAACACTTAAATTAAAGTCAATGCAATTGAGACCTGCTTTGTTGAAGGTGAAATAGCATATTTAAAGATGATAAACAAACCCCTTACGTAATTTTTGCATAAATAGGGGCACAAACGGCACTCTCTTATTGGGGAGGAATATCCTGCCGTAATCAGCACTGAGGACGAACACGACAGTGTAATGGGTATTATTTGCCAAGGGCTTGAGTTGGAAGATATCAAGGCATTGGATTGCTTTGAAGGAGATGTATGCAATTCTTCACAGCTATTAGACTTAGGTTACTAAGATGCAGTTGGATAGGACTACGAACGCGCTGCTACCAAGGTGGTGCTCTTGGAGGAAAAGGCATTGATTGATACAGAGGTTTATATCTGGATTGGAGATAAAAAGCTGCTTTCTGGACAGGACTGGAGCTTTGATTACTTTATCACTTCAGGCAAAGAACAGAAATGGCTTGATGAGCGATGCGAATTCTATGATGTAGATAGACTTCACGCTGTGGATGAAGTGAAATAGCACACAGAATCGAATAAAAATAGGGGGCCAAGCCAGCCCCTTAACCGCGTTGCTTACCGTCATGGTACCGAGGACCTTTTGTTGCTAGGCAAAATTTCAAAATTGACTTGATACACCAACACCAATTTACTACTAAGCTGAGTAAATTCACTTGATAGCTTCTTGAACCACTATTTTGTAGAGTAGAAGAATACTGCTTGATCATTGAAATAAGAATACAAGATATTGTGTGTATGACCCCACTGACATATTAAGCGTGTTATGCAAAAGTGTCATTAGGAAGTATACAGAATTCATTTCCTTGGCATGTTATCCATGCAAAAGTAACAAAGACTGACATTCTTATTATTATTACTTGCTTGTTAAATTGATTCTGCTGTATCAGTAACTCATACTTGTATAAGTATTAAATGCTGTCCATGAAAAAGTAGCGAAAAGTTAAGATATACTGTTTCTCATCCAAATGCAAGGCAGACATCATTCCATTTAGTAAAGGGACATAAATCCACTGATAAAGAGGTCCAGGACGCCGATAAAATCAGATATATGGTGCACTGCAGCAGCTATTGAACCAAAGGAGATGGCGAAAGAAAAGGAATGAAAGACAATATCAAATATTTCCATTCATTAAAGATTCTCGCTGATATCCTCTTCAATAAAAAGACTCATCAGTACCGCATCTATAGGATCAACGTTGTGCCTGTAAAGCCTATCACGAGCTTGATCTGATAAACGACAACAACACAAACCACATGGAGACCTGAAAATAAACATGCCATACCTAATGTTATTGTCTAGTGTCAGGTTTTTACAAATCGCTAATCCCTCCGTCCTGCTACATCCACTCTGACGCCCATCCTTGCCACTTACCTCTTTGTAACCATATTTGGGAGTATCTGGCGACACAACTGAATGTATACCATCGATGGAGTATCTTTTCGTTCCTTTCATACCTACAGTATTTGCCATCAAGCTATACAGTATTATACAGTATGTCTGCAGCAATCGCCTCAATCAATCCTCTGAGGCATTTACCTGGTGGCCCAACTTTATAAATACAATTTCCTCTCATTTCTCAATTCTTAACTGTCATTTTCCTTGTTTTAATAACCTTTTTCCTCTTCATTATCAGTCCCATCCTGACACATTTCTCTCTGAAAAATGAGAACAGTAATCAGATTTATTATTCAATAAAAAGAATTGTCCAACAAAATGATTATTGTCTGACACTCCAAAATCCTTCAACATAACTACGCCAAATGGACTACATGCACTAGCTTTTGAAAATCTGGCAAAAAATGAGACGTAGGAGATTTGAACTCGTGACCTTTCGATTTGGAATCGAACGCTCTGACCAACTGAGCTAACACCCCATTTGATGATTTGTCAGATGCAAATACGTAAGTTTAGTATTGGCAATCTGAGATCTGATCGAGATATAGTTTGTTGTGAGATAGAGTGTGTGCAGGAAGATGTATGTAGCCTTTTAGTTAAATGGATAAAAAGGTGTCTTTATTATTATTATGATTTAGGATTGACTTTATCCAATATACTTTGTGTAATGTTATGGACAATCCATGTTAAGCGCTGTTTGATATTTCTAGATATCGGCGCTCTTGGCTTGAACCTACGTTTCTTGTTCTTATTAGTATTCAACCTGTCAATGATATCCTGCAGATCAAGATCACTGTCTGAATACCCTTCAGTACTGACATCACCCCCCTTCGAAACGATTGTTCGACCCTGAACAACATCATTTGAGCTTGATGAGCCGGTGGCAGTGTTCGTTGGCATGTGAGGTATGGAGAGGTTGACGATTTTTGCTGGTTGAGTAGTAGGATTGTGAGTGGAAATTTTTGGAACAGCAGGTGGCTTGAAGGCAAAATCACTGCTAGCAGGAGGAATAGAAGAAGAAATAAGGACTTTGGGAGCTTGATTTGGCTCGGCAGGAGTAGGTGGATCAACAGTAGAGATAGTATTTGGACTTGGACTAACTTGACTAGCGGCAAGTGGGGGTAGAGGAGGCTCTAATGTAGATTGGATACTGTCATTTGCAGTAGGTTCGCTATCGTTCTGTTCTGACAAACGCTCATCTAGCTCTATATCTGCATCCACACTAACTGTTTCGTTGATTTCATCACTTATGTTTGACGCTGTGGAGTGAGAAGACAGGTACGACGACGACGACGAAGATGACGATGACACAGTCATTGTGGGAGAAGGCGGTTGCGGTATGGCGGCAGGTGAGGATGGTGCTGGCTCGTATGGTGGAGACTGCTCCATGATTTCCATATCACTACTAGCCGAAGACAAAAAGTCATATCCATCCATTATTTGATCCAATCCATGCTCATTTTCCTCTGTTTCATCCATGATACTACTTCCATGAACAGACACATCTTCATCTATGACATCCTGAACTGGTGGAGTGACAGCAGTATGTTCAGTTGGTGTTGGCGGTGCCGAGTCATGGTGTGGTAATTCAAAATGTTGGGATTCATTTTGTGTTCTTGATATAGGCATGTCAATGAAATCATCTTGAGGCTGATTCAAATTTTGCATTGACGACGAAGAAAAGGCAGGTGTTGGCAGCAATGATGACGAGGATGACTTGGCAGGATGATCCATTGTGTCATGGGAGGCAGTAGTGTCAGAAACAAGGCGTAAGCGATCGGCTTCACGAACTTCACGACGACTGGTGGTAGGATCATACCATGGCTCAGCGGGTCTTTCTCCTTTAGCTGCCTTGAGTCTATCAACATGCACCAACGATTCCAAAGGTTCACCAGCAATAGTTTCTAACTGATAAGTGCCAAAATCAGGGAATACCTTGGTGACAATGTATGGGCCTTTGTAGCGAGGCTCGAGACCAAATTTGCCTTCATGAGTCAGCATGACCATATCACCAGGTTCAAAACTTGTAGGCTTGATCTTAGCATCCCAACGCTCTTTGTCTGCTTCGCCCATTGCTTTGAGACGGAATTCGGCTGCAGCACGGTGTTGGCCAAGTAATTCAAGCTCACGAGAAGTGATATCAGCGACAGTGCGTTTATCCAGCAACATTTCTTTGGTGATGTATGGCCTCAAAGCATCTCCAGGTAGTCTAGGTTCACGTCCATATACCAGATAGTAAGGCGAAAAACCAGTGGTAGAGTGCACTCTGATTCTGCTTGCCCACAAGGCGGCGTATACAAAATCATCCCAGCGGTGTATAGCACCATTGACGTACTTCCGGAGCATTTGCTTGATGATGCCGTTGTATCTTTCAACCTTGAAGTTTGTGCGTGGATGGAATGCGGATGTCAGTTTGTGGTTGGTTCCAACACGCTTGGTGTATGCTGCGACTAGGCCACTCGTAAAGTTAGCACCTCGGTCAGTGATGATTTCAGCAGGGCATCCAAATCTCATGACAATTTCTTCATAGATGAAGTCTGCTACCGCTTCCATTGACGCTACAGGTACAGCTCTTGCAATAGGCCAATTGGTGAGGTAGTCGACAGCTGTCAATAACCACTTGTTGCCATTTCCTGTTGTAGGCAGCTCACCCACGAAATCCAAGTGCCAACGATCAAATGCTTTAGGTATGTTCAGAGGGTGCATGACATCTTGGTGAACATGATCACGACGACTGTTCAATTGACAAGCAGCGCACGTTTTCAACCAGTCTTGAATGTCTTTGCGATAGCCTGGCCACCAATACCTCTCTGTGAACATTTTCAACATAGTTTTGATACCAGCGTGGCCAAATCCTTCGTGATACTTGAAAACCAAATCAGCACGGTCCGAGAAGGGGATAAACTTGAGTTGTTTTACGGTGCCATCTTCCATTTTGTGCAGTCTATACACTGTCCGTTGGCGTACCACAAACTGATCCTCCTCCTTTTCCATTCGCTTCCTCAATACATCAGATTTCATCTTTTCGTAATTTTTGTCGACGTAGAGAATCGGCCAGTCCGTCTTGATGGCGTCTGATAGCTGGTCCCATGCGGCATACAAGTATTCAGGTTCCAAAGGCTGTATCGTCTCACCGGTATTCACTTGTAAGTCTGGTCTTCTTGATAATGCATCTGCAACTTGATTTTCCTTTCCAGCTTTGTACTCAATGTTTGGTGAGAATGCTTCATAATCTGCTATCCAGCGAACTAAGCGAGGTGTAGGATTCAACTGAGACTTGAAATAAACCAGTGGTTTGTGATCACTGTACACTGTATAACCACCTTGACAACCATCGACGAAACAACGCCACGTACGCAGAGCATGGACAATAGCAATCAGCTCGCGTTCTTGGGCAGGCAGTTTTTGTTCAGCTGCAGACAGTTTCTTTGATTCATATGCAATTGGCAACCAAGAGGAAGAGTCAGAGTCTTCTTGTAGGAGTACGGCACCTACACCAAAATCACTCGAGTCCGTCTCAATTCGGTATGGCTTACTCATATCAGGTAGTTTCAGCAATGGAGATGATGTGAGCATTTTCTTGATGGTTTTGAAGCTAACTTCACATTGGTCATTCCAGACGACAGCACGCTTTTTAGCACCACTGCCATGAGTCAGTTCCGTGAGAGGGGCCGCGATTGAGGAGAAATTTGGGCAGAAACGACGATAATGCTGTGCCAATCCGACAAATTGACGTACTTCTTGCACATTAGTGGGTCTGGGCCAGTCTTGGATAGCTTTCACCTTGGATGACGATGGGAGAATGCCGTTTGCAGAGACCTTGAAACCCAAAAACTCCAATTCACGCTTACCAAATTCGCACTTTTTCAGGTTGACAATGAGCCCTTCTTTTTCAAAAATAGACAGGACTTGACGAACATGCTTGATATGGTCAGCTCTAGTTTTGCTAAAGATACAGCAATCATCTAAATATACCAAAGCGTACTTGTCGATGCACTCTTTCAATATTCCGTTCATCCAGGTTTGATAAGACGGTGGGGCGTTTGACAATCCAAAAGGCAGCACGAGCCATTCCCATTTACCATATCTTGTATTGAAACCTGTGAGTGGAACATCAGAGTCTTTCAACCGAATTTGATGGTATCCCGAACGAAGATCGAGGCAAGTGAACCAAGAAGCACCTTGAAGACGATCCAGGCATTCATCTATGCGAGGCAGAGGAGTGGAATTGCGAATGGTGACCTTGTTCAAAGCTCTGTAATCAATGCACATGCGCATCTCACCGTTTTTCTTCTTGACGAAAAGAACAGGAGCACCCCATGGTGAGGATGATGGTTGTATAAGACCAAGAGACTGTAATTCCTTCAGTTGGCGTTGCAATTCATCAAGCTCTGCTGGACTCATGCGGAAAGGTGGTCTATTGATAGGCTTGACACCTTCAGGAACATTAATCACGTGGGAGAATTCTTGTCTGTTTGGTGGTAATCCAGGTAATTTGTCTTGAAACACCGTTGGAAAATCTTTCATGAGCTGGTTTGTCCATACCACATTCTCTCCACTAGTTGCAGTGTCTGCACCATCCTTCTTTTCTTGATCCAGCATGTACAGAAAACATGCCTCTGTGCCTTCCTCCTTCAGAATCTTCTCTGCTTGCAGGTGAGAGACTAGATAATTCAGTTCAGGTGGTTGTTGTTGAGTTGACGCACTAGCCACGCAAGACAGCGAGCTAGGTGAAATAACCACTTTGCCAGTACCACAACACGACAGAGTCCAAGTGTCATCAAACCAGTCGGCAACAGGTTTATGTTCCTTTAACCAGGATCTACCCAGGATAATGTCGAACTTTGTATCAAAGACGAATGCCGACATAGAACTTGTGTGGCCTTGGAGATTCAGATCATAGACAATCTTTTCGTTGATAGGAGACACATTTCCACCTGCCGTTTCAACTTCTCTGCCATGGATCACGCTGCGACGACCTTCAATCATTCTTGCAATTCTACCTGTGATGTAGTTTTCACTTGCACCGTTGTCAATCAAGCATTTGACATTGACGACACCCGAAGCTTTGTTGAGTCGGATAGTTGCTGAGTACAGAGGTAGAGTTGACGTGTTGGTTGCATTGAGAAGGTTGGTCAGGTATACAGAGTCTGTGGTGAGATCGACAGTTGCTGACGCATCGATGTCTTGGATGATGGGCACTAATTCCACAGGACGACGACGAGAGATTGCATTGGATACGACAGGAGCGGATACCGAGACACTGTTTGAGGACGAGGTGACATTCACTTCTTGACTATTGTCTGGTACAGGTGCAGAGATATTGTCATTTGAGGAAGTGGGAGTTACAGACGCAGACGAAGTAGAAACCACCGAGGAGTCCATCATTGCAATGATTTGATTCAATTCACTCAGCTGTGCATTTCCTTTATCAACAGCAATTTGATCACACAAAGACAGCAAATAGGAGGAACCGCTA